TTTGAATGGTTCGTTTAACCTGCTTGTTTCCGGTCGTAGTATAGTTCTAAACAAATATGCGATTTCTGTGCTTTTTTCAGCTGGGGCCAACAACACGTAGTAGTGTGGTGAATCCGCGATTGTTTATGGAAAGTTGTCATTTCCGTCGCGAAGACATTCACAACTGGTGAGTGATGCGTGTATTTTGCAGCGTTCGCGTTAGCGATTTTGGCAAAAAGATTTGAAAAAGGGGATTTCTCGCATCTCTTCCGTCTTTATTGATTTCTGTTTGTTGATTTCTTGGACACTTAGATGTGTTTCGGAATTTCTAAAATTTACAGTTGAGCTGCTTTGCGCGCTTCGGATTGCGAACCAATCTAATTACGAAAAATAAAAATTGTTGGAATAGCAACTTCTGGACTATTGATAATTGAGGGCGCTTTAATAGCGGGAACGAAAAAAAAAACCAGGGAATTCCCGATACGTCGTGTGTCGAGAAATTCCTGTTTCTTTTCGTCATCAGTTTGACGGTCTGAAGAGAGTTAATTGAAAGAAAGTGGTAACGGAAGTCGAAATCGGGATCGAAAATCCTTCCATTTTGATGTGGTGCGTGACTCTGATTAATTCTGCAACAAAGCGGTATTTTGCATGCATGCAGAGGATCTTCTTGTTCATCTGTTAGCGGTAACAAATGATGTAGTGCGTCGATCCTAATTTTAGGTTGATTGTCGATTCGAGGTTTGACCGTTTAAACGCAGAAATATTTGGTATTAAGAATTCTGGCTGCCCAAGAACGCACCTCACTCGTGCCAATTATCCTCCAATTCATTTCAGGTTATGTTTTCTATAAAGATCGCTGTTAATATTCTCGGGGAGCTAGAATGTGCTCGGAATTTCTTCGCTCTGGAAAACAAACTTTTTTGTTCAGGATGGTGTGTGATGTGCTGCAAGCAATGAAAACAAGTGTTGGCGGTCTGAATATTTTCCTGGCAGCCAATTATGACTGGATTGTGAAGCAAGCAGTACCTCCAGACGATTACGTTGCATTTATAAAGTCGTTCGCGGTAAAGCATCTTTTTTGGAAAATTTCCTTTATATTTTTTGTGGTGGGAAGCAGAAATGCATTGATTGCTAATCTTTTTCGTTTTAGGGTGTCCTGTTTAAGCTCTACGTCAAGCAATACGAGTCGGAGCATAAAAACGAGATTGTTTTCGATGAAAAGGAAGATAAAGTGAAGAAGGGATATTCCTATGTGGAAATGCCCACGATAGTGCTAATTACCGTTCCGAAGGCAAGTTGTGTAGTGTCATTTAGCGATGTGTCCTCAGAAGCAAATGGCGTCTCGTTGCCGAGGCACCGTAGCTCCCCTTTACGCTCGGTGGCATGTGGGGCGGGTGTACTTGGGGCATAAATAAAACATTTTATTGTGCAGTTGTGTTTGCAGATGATTGAACCAGCAGCTGAAGCGAAGTGCTGCGTATTCAATGATGCAGTGAAGGACCTGGCTCAGAAGTGGAAAACGAGCATGAGAAAGTTGGTGGTTTCTTAAACAAGGCAATCGCAAGGGTGTAACGTATTTTTAATTTATGCGCGCACAGGGACCTATATAAATTTGCAGTGAAGTTATGAGTGACTCGAAATGGTAACTTTTCCAGTGAGAACTGTAAAGATTATCGTTTTTTTTTTTTCCGAAGATTGCCCAAGATAATTGGGTGCATGCTTCATACTTTGTTATGTATCTCGTTGCTGGGAATGTTGATGAATTTCGGCTTTTGACACAAGCGGGACTAATACTAAGCTTCATTTCTGCTCCTCTCAAATTTTCCGATATTTCATGGGTTCATTTTTCCATTCTAGTCAGTTTTTATGTGTTTCTACATATTTGCACAAATGCAAATATGCGCAATGAAAAGAGATTGTGTTAGATGTGTGTGTTGCATGTGCGCATGTTTATGTGTCCAGTTCGCATCTTTTCGTCCAATTTCAACTCTGCAGCTACGGAAGCTAGGAGTACTTCATGTATGGCCCTCGCACTTTAAAATTATTGTTCATGCACGCTTCGATTCCGCGTGCAGGCGTCAGAAAGTATGTAAATTTTTTGGCATGAAAGTGATTCCGGAATTCAGACAAGGAAGGGACTAAAATTTCATAGGAATTTTCCATGTCGTTTTGTGAGTCGCAAGTTTCGGATTTAATTTTGATGCATTTCTACATCACGTGTGCAGACACGTAAAGTTGAGATACATCTTGGCTAGCAAAGTGGCAACCCTTGAATCTAGCTGATTAGAGCGTCCTAAATCCACAGGAATATTTGTTTTCCATACATGGGCAAGTAGGCATAAAGTTTGGCATAAAATTTTTGGAAGTTTAGAAAAATTTGGCCTCTTAACGTGCTCTAATTGTTTGACTAGCTTTGCTTTATTTAACTCAATTACTTTTTATGCGTTTTTGTTGTGCTGCGCTAGAGCGCTGCAACAGGCAGCAAAAACGTATATTGCAACGACCCTTTCAATGTGTGTGTGTGTGTGT